CTCAACAGAAACAACTGCTTTCGTAAAATTGTCAACATTCATGGCAAAAAAAGAAAATTAAGAAAAAAAAATCTCCCAAAATACTTCCTGCCAGAGAAAACTGTTAGCCTATTAGTGAATATCCCTTCACATACCACATGCCTACATTTACATATCTATGCATAGACTTATATTTGATCACACAATTCTGAACCTACTTGTACCCTAAATACTACGTGCATTCTTCTTCTATCGTTATAGATCTATATTAATATTTAAAGGGCTTCATGTTAACACTGTATGTACATATCACAATTTATTCAAAAAACCTTCTACTGATGGACATCTGTTATTTACCTTTTTGCAGGGGAGGGAGGGAGGAAATGGAAAAACAATCTTTTGTAATAATCTCCTAAGGATAACAACTTACACTACAGTGTAATTGGTACTGAATAAAAAAGTGTAAAAATGGCAATCTTGTCCAAATTCATTAATAAATTTGACGAAATGTTAATAAAAGTCCCAACGAGGGTTTTTTGTTTGTTTTTCTTTTCTCGGGGTGGAAAATTTGACAAAATTAATGTCCTTCATACTTGCAACGGTCTCCCTAGAAAGTTTAGACGCAGAAAATGCTGTAGTATTTAGTTAGGCAAGTGATAAACAATCTGAAAGAAAAAAAAAAAAGCCTGGATGAAAATATCAATAAGTCAATTATTATCAATTAAAGGTTTACAAAATACTTCTTGTGATCTGTAACTACTTCTGACATTTTTAAAGAATTACAGTAAGACTCTGCCTTCATGATGTTCGAGGGATCGAAAAATTCAATCTTATAAAATGTGATGACATTATAAGGCTTATAAAAACCAATTATTTTTCAGTCAGTCTGTATTGTCACAAAAAGCACAAAATTAAAACACAGCTAAATTTTTTTCAAAATCACTTTATTGGAAAAAAAAATCCTAATACCAATACTGAAATATTGACTTACTTAGTGTCTTGAAGATGTCATGCTGGTTCATGCCTCTGTGCTTTTGAATATATTCCTCTCTGTGGAATGAATGCCCAACAGTCTACCAGCCTGCCCTCATGCCCACCTGCCTCACCCATCTAGGTAGCATCTGTACCATATTTTATCTAGTTTACATCCTCCTATAGTATCCTGATTACCTTAGCATTTGCCCTTACCCTAGTGCTTCTCAATAAAAGACAGCTATATTTTTGCTATAAGGAGTCCCCGTGTGGTGCAGTTAACACGTTTGGCTGCTTATCGAAAGGTTGTTGGTTCAAGTCCACCCACAGGTGCCTCAGAAGAAAGGGCCGGTGATCTACTTCCAAAAAATCAGCCACTGTAAACTCTATGGAGCACAGCTCTATTCTGACACATATGGAATTGCTATGAGTTGGAATCGACTTGATGGCAACTGGTTGGTTTGTTTTTGCTATACACAAAATGATAGTACACTGTACAGACAGTCCAAAATGATATGAAAACTTCAGCCTACTTGTTTGATAGTGGGATGGGTAGAGGATAGGATTCAAACCCAGTAACGTTGTCATCTAATTCATGTTACCCAAAGATATAGTATCATAGAGATTTACTCTACTTAATGTGTTGTTGTTAATTTGAATAAATTTTACGAAGGCTACTTGTTGATTTCCTTTATGAGAATACCTCAGTGAGTTTTAGTAGGGAGAACTGTCTAAAATTTTCAAAAAATATTTCTGTGAAATGGTAGTCAGACCTTGCCTAACTTCAGGGGGAGAGATGAGAATCAAGATTAGCCCAAAGCTGATTCCTATGAGGTGGAGTCAGACATACCACCACTCTCCAATCTTTTTACCAATTCTGACACCAGCCATTCCTCCCACGGCACTCTCTAAGTCTCTTCTGGGTTCAATAATCCATTACAATGGCCATACAGAACTCACAGATCATACATACAGTTAAGTGATTTATTAAGGAAGTAACAAGGTACAACTCAGGATTAGGATCAGGAAGCATGTAAGCAAAGTCTGGAAGGCTCCCCCGAAGCAGAGAGCACATCCCTTTCTTCTTCAGCGCAGGAAAGCTCTCTCAGCTCCTCTCGGCCATGCAATGACGCAGGTCCTTCTCTCTGCTGTGTAAATCCCCTCTCCGCTGTCTCAGGACAGGCCTCCTCTCAGCCCCCTCAGGACAGGACTCTTCTCAACCCCCTCATGAAAGGCCTTTGCCTCTTAGAACAGCCTTCCTCTCAGCCCCCTCAGGACAGGCCTCCTCTTGGCCTCTTAGAACAGCCTTCCTCTCAGCCCCCTCAGGACAGGCCTCCTCTTGGCCTTTAGAACAGCCTTTCCCTCAGCCCCGAGGACAGGCCTCTCTGCCATCACCACTGACTCCACCACAGAGACCCTTCCAGGCATCTCACCATCTTCAGTGTTACAGCCCTTAATCTGTCTTATAGCTCTTTTAGGAGGTTCCTTGCCTCCTCTCTGCTTCTCTCTTCCTTCTGCTTCTATCTGCCTGCTGCCTCAAAAACCTCTGTGAGGTTGGCTACATATATACACAAACTCCTTGCCAATTTCAAGGCATGGCCCTCCCCATCAGGGCCACAAACTGACCAGTCTCCTCTCTGTAGGCCACAAACACTTCATTTGCATAGTAGGCTATAATAATTTTATTTGCATAGTCTATTGACCAACCCCTGCAAGGTGCATACCAATCACTGGGCAGGCTGCAGCCCAGGGCCAGACAGAAGTATCAAATTACAAGCTGTTTATCGCTTATCCAGGAAATGTCAATCAACTTGGACAAAAGTAACAAACCCTCTAGGGTAGAAAATCAGGGCAAAGGTAACTCCTCAGGGCTTAGGGAAAAAATATCTCAAGCTGTTTTTTCCAAAGAACCAAGGCAAAAGGCTACTTTAAGGAACTCATTTCTCCACAGTCCACCCTCTAGCTTTTTTCCCATGGGTTCTTTACTTACTTTTTACGAGTCTAAATCAGTTATTAACAATTAGTACATCCATAGAGCAAAAACTCTCAGAGTGAGATCACTTAGTACCAATTACTCAGGTCTGCTACAGGTGTCCACCTGATTTGGTCAGGTTCTCCAAAAGTCATCTTGGCTGCTCCATTTCTGGCAGCTGATAAAATATAACTGAGAATATTATTCCCTTGCTCTGAGCCTCTTGAGTTATCAGCATCGTATAACATTTACAGGACATGTGGTTTTGCCACTGCAGTCCAGTCCAGCAGTGCCCCCCCCCCTTAGTCCACTCTTTCAGTTACAACTCTACGACTACAGGTTTTACAATCACAATTAACCCTTTTAATAAACAACACTCACAACTGAATCATATAATCAGATTAAGTGTCTTACCCCACCCTCTCTTCTCCAGACCCATCAGGAAAAGAGGAATCTATTCAGTGGGGGATCCTCCCTTGTCTCCCTCATTCGGAGTGTAAGCACACCATGAAAGAGTGTAAGCCAGCCACTTCATGCCTTTATCACCCTGTTTTAGGTAGCCAATGTTTAAATTGCCCATCCCAATCAAACCAGTACCCTGAGGAGACAAGCATGTTCTTGGTCTGAAGAACCTTCTGTTCCGGTTGGAACTCTGACCATCAACATCCATAAGCAAAGTCCAGTCCAGGGCAAGCCATTAAATTGCAGCAAACTACACCAACTCATGGTGTCAAACATCTCTCTCTTCCCCCATTACCTGGGGCCAGGTCATCTCAACCCTATTCAGTAGGGGTCAGCTCATCCCTAGCCACCCAAGTTAGGTCAACAGGTACCAGCCGTAGGCTCAGGAGTCCACACAACTTTCCTATACTTCAGACCAGCCAGTCCCTTTTCTTTCTCATCCCTAGCCACCTGGATTAGGTCAACAGGTGCAAAGGAACATATTCTAACTCAGCCCATGTCTTCAATGTTGCACCTCCCCCACTTCCACTCATCTTATGGACCCAGGTAGTCATCTCAAGTGAGTATACCTAGGTATCTACTTGCAGGCTTCCATTTACTTCCAGTCCTGGAAGGGGGATTCTTCTGATGGGCACTGACATGTCCTATTCAACACACCCTTCAGATTGCATAGGGCTGTGCCCCACACAAACATTCTTTTACTATTCATTCACCAAGCAGCTGTTTGGTCAGTCAAGCCATCAATCATCATAGTACTCTCAAAGCCCAATATAATTGTCTCTCAAATTCAAATTTCCTGATCTCAGAGGCTTTTGGCATAAGCCCCATCTACTATTTCCCCTTTTAGCATATCCAGTCAAGTACTGCCTGAGGGGCGGAGTTACACACTCTCTTTTCTGTTTTTTTACAATACCCAATATTCATTTCCATCATACACTCAGGTCTGTTTTATTTACAACACCAGGTAGAGAACACACTCCTTCAGTCAGACAAATATTGTACATTCAGATAAACACATAACTTTTTTAAACATTCCAGTTTCACCTTTTTTCCACCCTCTGACTATTTTACCCATTTGTAAGCATTTGGGCTTAGGTTTCTGGATGGATTGAACCAGAAGACCCTGGCCCCCTATCAATCATCTTGCCTGACCTGCTGGGCTTTCACTCTAACCCACTCCTGATGCAACTTTCCTATCCACTGCTACAGCATAACATCTCTTATTTTTAGTCATCACAGATAGCAGCGACCAAAAAAAACACCCAATAATCAAAAGTTTCTCATCCCATGCCCATTCATCCTTTCTCCTCCAAAGCTCCACATTTCCATAAGTCAGGAGCCATTGCAACACATCCCACTTCTGACGCCAATTGTGAAATGGTGGTAGTAGTAATAGGAGCATCAGAACCTGTCTAAATTCAGGGAAAATAATGACCAGGATCAGCCCAAAGCTGATTCCTATGAGGTGGAGGTCAGACATACCTCCACTTTCCAACCTTTTTACCAATTCTGACACCAGCCATTCCTCCCACGTCACTCTCTACTTCTCTTCTGGATTCAATAATCTATTGCAATGGCCACACAGAACTCACAGACCATACATACAGTTAAGTGGTTTATTAAGGAAGTAAGAGGGTACAACTCAGGATCAGGATCAACAGACTACAACTTGGGATTAGGATCAAGGAGTATGTAGGCAAAATCTGGAAGGCTCCCCTGAAGTGAAGAATACATCCCTCCCTTCTTCAGTGAAGGACAGGTCTCTCAGCTCCTCTCAGCCATGGAAGCAAGCAGGCCCTTCTCTCTGATGTGCATGCCCTCTCTTCCATGCATGACCTCTCTCTGCCATGCAAACCCTCTCTCAGCCATCTCAGAACAGGCTTTCTCTCAGCCCCCTCAGGACAGGCCTCCTCTCGGTTCCCTCAGGAAAAGCCTCCTCTTGGTCCCCTCAGGACAGGCTCCTATTGGCCCCTTGAGGACAGGTTCCTTTCAGACCATGAGAACAGGCATCTCTGCCTTCAGCCTCCCTGCCACCACCACCAACTCTGCTGCAGGGCCCCTGCCAAGCCTGTCACCACTGTCTCCGCTCCTGGGCTCCTTCTGGGCATGTCATCGCCAGGTCTACTGCAGGGCCCCTTCTGGACCTCTGTCTGTCTTCAGTGTTACAGCCCTTGACCCATGTCACAGCTCTTTTAGGAGGTTCTTTGCTTCCTCTCTGCTTCTTCTATCTTCCTTCTACTTCTGTCTGCCTCCTGCCTCAAAAACCTCTGTGGGGTTGGTTGCATATATACACAAACTCCTTGTCAATTTCAAGGCATGGCCCTCCCCACCAGGGCCACGAACTAACCAATCTCCTCTCTGTAGGCCACAGATACTTCATTTGCATAGTAGGCTATAGAAACTTAATTTGCATAGTCTATTGACCAGCCTCTGCAAGGTGCATACCAATCACAGCGTAGGCGGCAGCCCAGGGCCAGACAAAAAGCATTAAAACTACAAGTTGTTTACAGCTTATCCAGGAAATATCAATCAACCTGGACTAAAGTAACAAACCCTCTGGGGTAGAAAACTAGGGCAAAGGTAACTCTCAGGGCTTAGGGGAAAAATCTCGTAAGCTGTTTTTCCGCAAGAACCAAGGCAAAAGGCCACACAAAGGAATTCATTTCACCACAACGTCCCATTTATGCATGGCACAAAAGGTTAAGTGCTTGACTACTAACTGAAAGACTGGTGGTTCAAACCCACCCACAGGTGTCTTGGAAGACAGGCTTCCAAAAGGTCACAGCCTTGAAAACCCTATGTAGCAGTTGTACTCTGCGCATATGGAAGTGCCATGAGTCATAATTAACTCAACAGCAACTAACAATAGACACTGAAGGAAGTCCAGTCCTCACGAAGCTTAAGTTCTCACTGACGCTGATTTATTTCATGTCCATCTTCTAACTCCCGTTAAAGTCCTGACCATGTTGTTATCATTTTTAAGTCCTCTCTGCTGTGTATACTGATGAACACAAAGGTTTTTATTAAAGTCCTCACCATACCACTCTTAGGGAGTTCTCTGCCATGTAGTTTCTTTGTGAACTGTGATATTTCATGCTTTGGCTGAGATACTGACTGCATTAACAAAACAAGTTTTCTCTCCTATTTGGACTCTGATGATTGTTGAAGAATACAACTCCCTTTTGGGTCCTTAAAACACATCATTTTAAAGAATGTCTCTTCTTAGTGGATAACCTGATGCTAATAAAGATTGAGTTATTTTAAAAAAAGCCCTTACCACACACACTCCTTGTATTTGTATAGGTTCTCTTCATTGTGGATTCTTTGATAAGCTTGAAGATGGGAAAACGTATAGGGTTTCTCTCCTAAATGAACACTGACATGAGAAAATATGAGCTCTAACTAAAGCTCTCCCCACAGTTTTCACATTTGCAAGGTTTCTCTCCTGTGTGAACTCTCTGATGGGTATGGAGACTTGATTTATTATTAAAACTCTTACAACTCTTATCATATTGATGTGGGGGTAGAAGGGGTTCTCCATATGAAATTTTAATGATTGCGAAATGTAGGTCTTCCACTAAAACTTCTTCCACATTCTCACATTTTTAGGGTTTTTCTCCATTGTGGACTTTCTGATGAACTTCAAGATGTAAACTCTGACTAAAGCCCTTCTCATACATACTTACAGGGTTTCTCTTCATGTGTGTGGCGATTATGAGCTCTGACTGAAGTCCTTGTTATAAGTTTCATAATGATGATGGAGTTTCTGATGAAATTGAAGACTTGAACTCTAACTACAACTCTTATCAAATCAATTACATTTCTATGGTTTCTCCTGTGTGGACTCTGATGAACGTAAAGAGATAAACTATAACTGAAAATCTTACCACATGCATCATTGCACTTGTATGGTTTCTCACCAGTATGGACTCTCAGGTGGGCTTGAAGATGTGAGCTCCAAGTGAAGCCCTTCTACACTTCTCACATTTGTAGTGTTTCTTTCCTGTGTGATTTCTCTGATGGCTACAGAGACTTGATTTATTATTAAAGCCCTTACCACATTTATCACATTGATAGAGGCTTTTTCCCTTATGGACTTGTTGATAATTGTGTAGTGTGGATCTTCTGCTGAAGTCTTTTCCACACTCCTCACACTTATGTTTATATACGTTTACACTGAATATACCATCGACTGCCAGAAGAACAAACGAATCTGTCTTGGAAGAAGTACAGCCAAAATGCTCCTTAGAAACAAGGATGGCAAGACTTCGTCTCAAGTGCTTTGGACATGTTATCAGGAGGTTCCAGTCTCTGGGGAAGGACATCATGCTTGGTAGAGGGTCAGCAAAAAAGACTTGAACTCCAACTGAAACTCTTATCACATGCATCACATTTGTATGGCTTCTCTTTAGCATGGACTATCTGATGAACTTGAAGATATGAGCTCCAACTGAAGCCCCTATCACACATAATACATTTGTATGGTTTCTCTCCTGTGTGGACTCCCTGGTAGATGTGAAGAGATGAACTATGAAGACCTTACCACATGCATCGCAATTGTATGGTTTCTCATCAGTATGGACTCTCAGATGAGCTTGAAGATGCGGTATTTGTAGGGTTTCTCTACCATGTGAATTCTCTGATGTGTGTGAAGATAGGGGCGCTGACTGAAGCCCTTACCACATGCCATACATTTAAATAGTTTCTCTCCAGTATGGATTTGCTGATGAATTCGAAGATAAGAACTCCGACTGAAACCCTTAGCACAAATATTACATTTAAATGGTTTCTCTCCAGTATGGATTCTCTGATGGGCTTGAAGATGTGAAGTCTGACTGAAACCCTTGCCACATTCCTTACATTTATAGGGTTTTTCTCCTGTGTGGACCCTCCTATGAACGTAAAGATGTGAGCTCCAATTAAAGGTTTTCCCACATTCCTCACACTTATAAGGTTTCTCAACTGTGTGAACTCTCTGATGGATACGGAGTCTTGACTTACTACTGAATCCCTTAAGACAATTATCACACTGATAGGGGGTTTCTCTTGAGTGGATTTGTTGATGACTGCGAAGCGCTGATCTCCCACTGAAGGCTTTTCCACAATCCTCACATTTAAATGGTTTCTCTTCTGTGTGGACTCTTAGATGAGCTTGAAGATGCGAGATCCAACTGAAGCGTTTCCCACACTTTTCACATTCAAAGGATTTCTTGCCAGTGTGAACTCTACAATAAACACTATGATCTGAGCCATTACTAAAGCTCTTCCCATACCTCTCACAACTACATGACATGTTTTCTGTGTGAATTAGCTGATGAGCATGAAGAGAAGAACTCTGACAAAAGCCCTTACCACAGTCATGACATTTGTAGGGTTTCTCTACCATGTGAACTCTCTGATGTGTGTGAAGATAGGAGCGCTGCCGGAAGCCCTTACCACATGCCACACATTTAAATGGTTTCTCTCCAGTATGGATTCGCTGATGCACCCGAAGATATGAACTGCGACTGAAGCCCTTAGCACAAATATTACATTTGTATGGCTTCTCTCCAGTATGCATTCTCTGATGGGCTTGAAGATGTGAATTCTGACTGAAGCCCTTACCACATTCCTCACATTTATAGGGTTTTTCTCCTGTGTGGATCCTCTTATGAACGTGAAGATGTGAACTCCAATTAAAGGTCTTCCCACATTCCTCACACTTATAAGGTCTCTCAACTGTATCAACATTCTGATGGATGTAGAGACCTGACTTACTACTGAAATCCTTAAGACACTTATCACATTGATGAGGGGTCTTTCCGGAGTGGACTTGTTGATGACTGCAAAATGCTGATCTCCCACTGAAGTCTTTTTCATAATCCTCACATTTAAATGATTTCTCTCCTGTGTGGACTCTTAGATGAGCTTGATAATGTGAGCTCTGCCTGAAGCTTTTCCCACACTCCTTGCATTTATAGGGTTTCTCTCCACTGTGGATTCGACAGTGGATGTTAAGATCAGAGCTACAACTGAAACTCTTCCCACAACTATCACACCTAAAAGGCTTCTCTTCTGTATGAATAAGCTGATGAGTGTGAAGAGAGGAGCTCTGATCAAAGCCCTTGCCACATTCATAATACGTGTAGGGTTTGTCCCGTGTATGGCCTCTCTGATATGTGTGAAGGTACAAACTCTGACTGACGCCCTTTGCACACTGATCACACTTATAGTGTTTCTCTCTGGTGTGAACACTCTCATGAATGTGAAGAACTGAGCTATAACTGAAACCCTTTCCACACTCACTACATGTATGGGGTATCTCCCCTATGTGCGATTTCTGATGAAGTGCAAGACTGGAGGCATCACCGAAGCCTTTGTCACACTGATTGCACGTGCAGGTTTTCTCTCCTTTGTCAACTGTATTACACTGATGAAGTGATGATTTCTCCATGAAGTCTTTTCTGCTGTGGCTAGAAGCTTTGTCTCTCTGGTGTACTCCGTGATCCTCATGGTGGACTGAGATCCAACTGGAGCTGTCAACACACTGATCACATTTACACAGGGTTTTTTCCACAGGAAGTTGCTCACATCTACTCTGATAATTCTGTGACTCACTCAGATACGATGTCCTCCCCAAATCTTCGACTCTCCAAGTTGGAAACTTCTGATTTTTAATATTGCAACTATTCCCTTGAAGATTCATTAGATAGTTGTTCTCTTCAGAAAACTCAATAGATACCCCTGCCCAGATCTGACAGGGGAAATCATTTTGTTTTAGTAACCAAGGACTCTTCTCTTGAAGATTTATCGTGGAATCTTGACTTCTAGTTAATTCTTCTACAACCTGTTCCCAGATATGATTGCAGGAAAGCTCTTCATATAAATGGTACCTTAACCTTTGAAGAGTCTCAATCTCATTCTTATTTTGATGCTTGTCCTCTGTAAGGATAAAGAGAATTCAAAGGTGAGAATAAATGAACGTTTTGTGTGAAATTCTAAGATTTCACACTATGGCCACAGCAGACGCCTCAATGAATCAGGGGAAGGCGCACCCTGACTTTACCATCTTACATCCTGTTCTTCATTTTACTTGCCTACAGAAACAAAGAGATGGTCATCAGGCTCCTATTTACTAAGTGTTAAGACCCACTTAGAGCCCTGGTGGCACAGTGGTTAAGAGCTCGGCTGCTAACCAAAAGGTGGGCAGTTCGAATCCACCAGCCACTCTTTGGAAACCCTATGGGGGCAGTTCTACTCTGTCTTATAGGGTCACTATGAGTTAGAATCAACTCGATGGCAATGGGTTTGTTTTTTGTTTTTTTTGGAAGACCCACTCAGACTCACACCAAGTCTAACATGTGAGATGCAAGTAAGAAATCAGGCAGATGCAGAGCAATAAAGACATCCTAGAAATATTTTACAGAAGAGAAAATTCACCTTCCTACCTCTAAGTATAGTCAATCAAAAGCCGCCTTCTCTTTTGAGCAGCAGGTATAGAGATAAGTGAAAACAATCTTATCATGCCTGTCTCTATACCTCAAAATCAGGACTGCATGGCACAATCTATACATCGGATATGTCATCCTTGCTCAAAAATGTCCAGGAAAAGTTTACAGATAGATTGTCATGGGGTACCAAGAGCCCTTAAACAGATGATTGGAGGGAAGTATATTTTTGGACCACTACCTATCAGTTTGTTGTACTATGGTAGCTGGCGTGCTGCTATGATATTATGCTACTGGTAGTTCAAATATCATCAGGGTCACCCAGCGTGGACAGGTTCCAGCAGAGCTTCCAGACTAAAACAGACTAGGAAGAAAGGCCTAGAAATCTACTTCTGAAAATTAGCCAATGAAAACCTTATGGATTACAACAGAACACTGTCTGATTCGCCTGCTTTGAACACATCATCAGGAGGAATCAAACACTGGATGAGCAGATCATGTTTGTAAACAAGAGGACCAATGAGGGTGAGGGAGACCCTCAGTGAGACAGACTGGCAGTGGCCACAACAATGGGCTCAAACATGCCCATGATTGTGATGATGGCACAGGACTGGGCAACACTTCATTCTGTTGCACACAGGGTCACCATGAGTTGGAGTTAACTCAATGGCAACTATCTATCTATTAATTCTAAAATTAAATTCTTCTAAGTGTGTAACTCAGCTATTCAAGCCTACAGAAAAGTCACTGGGTGAGAATGATGTTCAGTTTGGTTAGAACTACAAAGTTAAAGCGTTTAAGTAAATACAGGAAAACCTTATGAAAATGTTGGTTCCAATCACATAATCTTCAATCCTTTTAAAGGAGTGTTTTTCAAACTTTCAAACTATTTTTTAATCTCAACGTGTCATAACAAATGCATTTTGTGTCATGAACCAGTATACATGTACATATATGTAAACTCATAAGCATTCACCATGAGTCGGAATCAACTCAATGGCAACTAACAACAATAACCATCAAGGTGTATTTCTCCTATACCTTCCACTCTCCCTCATACAACTCAGTATAATTGGCTTGTTCTTGCTTTAACGTGTGTACTCTTTGCTAAGGTGCTCTGATATTTTCTGTTCCATTCTATTTTATTCTGATTCTTTTAAAAATAAATTCTGGTATGATTCACTAAATTGATTCACAATCCACTGATAAGTCACAACACAGTTGGAAAAAGGAAAGACAAGACACAAAAGTGACACTGCCCATTACAGTTCATTGAGAAGGACAAACTTTTGCCTCGGCAGAAAGACCAAAAGTATCTTCTCTCTATGGCCCTCAGGGACTAGGATACTCAGATCCTCAAGCTCAGGGAACTGTTTCAGGGGCCCCAAAGCCCTAAGTGGTTGGGGATATCAAAACACCCTAGAACACTGATGCCAAGTTACAGAGTGCACCTATCCTCACCCACTGAGAGCAGGTTCCTGAAGTTCTCCAGCATCACATCTCGGTACAGCGTCCTCTGGGCAGAGTCTAGCAGCCCCAGCTCCTCCTCAGTGAAGACCACAGCCACATCCTTAAATGTCACTGCTTCCTACAACATCAAACACACACAACCTCACTGGAAGAGGGGCAGCACTGAGACAGCAGAGAATATGGATGGGAAGTTGTTGCAGATTCTGAGGGACTCAAGTCAGTTTTTAATAGAGTCCATGGGTGGTACAAATGGTTTGCAGTTGACTACTAACCTAACGGTTGGCAGTTTAAACCCACCCAGCAGCATCATGGAGGAAAGGTCTGGTGATCTGCTTCTGTAAAGATCACAGCCAAGCAAACCCTATGGAGCACAATTCTACTCTGACACACACGATGTCACGATGAGTTGGAATCAACTTGATGGCAATGGATTTGTTTTGGGTTTTTTTGCCCTTCCTCTTTGCCTTCCACATTCCCAATGCTATATATTGATTTACTGTAGTCACCCTAAAGCGCTGCAACTAAAAAAAAACAAAAAAATCCCATACCTTTAACTTGATGCTCCTTGTGACTATTCTTATAGGTAAGTCCCAAGAATTTAATTCCCAAGTCACAGGGTATACACATTTTACAATGTGATTGATAACTTTGAACTCTGCCCATTCCCATTTTTTGTAACATTTGCCACACTCACCGGCCTTCAGTTAGCCTTCCTGGGCAGGTAGTTAATTAGTCCTCTGTGCTTTGGAGACACATGTCACATCCATATACTGCAGCACTCATAGTACTAAAGTGAAGTGCACAGTTCTGGCACCAGACTGTCTTGGTGCATATCGCAAGGCCCTGCCTCTTGCTAGCTGTGTGACCTTGGATAAATTACTCAAATCTCTTAATCTCTGGTGTTTTCTCATTTGTAAAATAAGGATGATCACGGCAACTACATCATGAAGTTGTTCTAAGTTTTACGTTGATGAATACTTGTAAAGCTTTTAGGACAACTGGCATATAGTTAAGTACTCAATAAATGTTAGCTATCATCATCATCTACTTCACTCATTTAAAGGCTACAAAGTAGCTCATGGAATTTATGATCTATAATATATTAAACCAAGGAGCCCTGGTGGTGCAGTGGTTAAGTGCTCAGCTACTAATCGAAAAGTTGGAGGTTCGAACCCACTAGCCGTTCCTCGGGAGAAAGACCTGGCAATCTGCTCAAGATTACAGCCTTGGAAACCCTATAGCGCAGTTCTACTCTGTCACATGAGGTCACTATGAGTCAGAATCTATTCGATGGCAATGGTTTTTGGGATGTAATACATTTAACCAATCCAATTAATAAACATTTACTTTTAGACTTTGTCTTTGGCCCAATAGTCTGATTGCTTTCTTAAGAGAAATTCCAATAAATTGAAATTGCAATGTCAAAGAATATGCACTTTCAAAACTCTGTTAATATGTCAGATCATCCTCCCAGAATACCTTCCTCCAAGAAAATAAAAGAATCACTGAATTGCCTTACCTTGGCCAGCACTAGACATTATCAGTTTTTAAATCTTATAGTTCAGTGCTTAAGCATTTGCCCCATTCAGGGGAGCTTGATTTTTATACAGCCAGAATGCTCCTTGGAAGCGAGGATGGCGAGACTTCGTCTCATGTACTTTGGACATGTTATCAGGAGGGACCAGTCCCTGGAGAAGGACATAACGCTTGGTAAAGCAGAGGGTCAGCGAAGAAGAGGAAGCCCCTCAATGAGATGGACTGACACAGTGGCTGCAACAACGGGCTCAGCATTAACAACGATTGTGAGGATGGCGAAGGACCGGGCGGTGTTTTGTTCTGTTGTGCAGAGGGTCGCTATGAGTGGGTACTGACTCGATGGCACCTACCAACAACTGTGTGATAAATAAATGGTGAGAATATAAAACTAAGAAAAACTCAAACAAAAACAAAACAGCAAGTCCCTGGCATACAATAGACAGTCAAATGCCTATTTTTCTCCTGTACAGAAGGAAGAGGCATTCATCTTTGAGCAGCGAGGTATCATTATTAAGAGACAAGAAAGCACAACTCACCTGGAACTTAGTCATTCTCTCCTCTTCTTGACACAGAGTCCCGGGAAGGTAGAACTGGGGAAAGAGAAAGAAGTCATGAGATATAGGCCTGACTACCTGTGCCATATGGCATCTTCAAGTGATCATAAAGGTATTCCTTCCTCCAGGTAGATGCAGTTACAAAAACCTGTTAGAGTATGGTCTGGATTCCAGCTACCTCGGTCAAGTGCCTCTGTGTAGTGAATAACCCTCACAGCTGTATGCAGCAACCCTAACACAAGTGCTCCTTGTAGCTCACAAGGTAGATATTTATTTCCAGGAGATGGTAGGGAATGAGAGGTAGCACAAGGTACTTATTAAAAGAGTGGGCTCCAAGGCAAAACTGCCTGGGTTCAAAGCCTGGCACTTCTACTTTCTAGCTGAATAGTTCTTGGGCAAATTATTAAACTCTCTGTGCAGCAATTGTTTTTGGTAAAATGGGGATAAAAATAGCACTTACTTCATAGAATTGTTGAGAGAAGTAAATGAGTAGATGGAAATCTTAGAACTGTGCCATGATTCCCCATTTCCTTACAGCTGAAGAAAAGCAGATACCATTCTTCGTCTCACGTACTTTGGACATGTTATCAGAAGGGACCAGGCCCTGGAGAAGGACATTATGTTTGGTAAAGTAGAGGGTCAGTGAAAGAGAGCAAGACACTCAATGAGACGGACTGACACAGTGGCTGCAACAATAGGCTCAAACAGCAACGATTGTGAGGATGGTGCAGGACCAGGCAATGTTTTGTTCTGTTGTACATGGGGTTGCTATGAGTTGGAACCGACTTGGCGGCACCTAGCAACAACATTCTGCATTATAAGACTGTCCTTGAACGTGTGATTTCTAACAAATGTATCTCATAACGCACCTGAACTTCAAGTTGATGTTCTGTCCTGTGAGTCACCTTTAAGCTGTGAAGTGGTTCATTCTATTTGTCTTACTCAAAAATTCCTCACCTTTGAGTAGTGTCTGGGGTCTTAAAGCCTGTGAGCAGCCATCTAAGATACTCCACTGGTCTCACCCCTTCGGGAGCAAGGGAGAATGAAGAGAACAGGATACAAGGAAAAGCTCAGTCCAAAGGACTAAACTACACAGCCTCCACCAGACTGAGTCCAGTATGGCTAGATGGTGCCTGCCTACCACCACTGACTGCTCTGACTGGGATCACAACAGAGAGTTCTGGACAGAGTTGGAGAAGGATGTAGAACAAAATTCTAACACACAAAAAAGACCAGATTTACTGGCCTGAAAGAGACTGGAGAAACCCCGAGAGTATGGCCCCCAGACACCCTTTTAGCTCAGTGGTGAAGTCACTTCCGAGGTTCACTGTTCAGCTGGGGACTGGACAGCCCCATAAAACAAAACGGAACTAATGAGGCACAGCAGTCCAGGGACAAGGACTAGAAGGCAGAAGGGAACAGGAAAGCTGGTGATAGGGAACCCAAGGTTGAGTAAGGACAGGGTTGACATGTAGTGGGGTTGTTAACCATTGTCACAGGGCAACATGTGTACTGTTTAATGAGAAACTATTTTGTTCTGTAAACCTTCATCTAAAGTAAGAATAGCAGCACAACTGAAAGAATGCAATCGACGTCACTGAATTGTGCATGTAGAAATTTTTGAAATGGTGTATCTTTGGCTATGTATATTTTCACCAAAAAAAAAAAGGTTGAGAAGGGAGAGGGTTGACATGTCGTGGGGTTGTTAACCAATGTCATAAAACAATATGTGTACTGACTGTTTAACGAGAAACTATTTGTTCTGTAAACCTTCACCTAAAGTACAATAAATAAATTAATTAATAAAATTGATATGTAAAAAGAAGAAATTCCTCACCTTAGCAACAGTAACTTGACATGGGCAGCCCTTCCCTTCCCATCTTCCTTCCCTTCTGCTCCCAGCGTAGAGATGTCAACAGCTGAGGACACAGGGCAGTGAGGGGATGCCGTACACAGATGTTGGCATGGACCTTGTGTCCAAGCAAGCAGGATGGTGAGGAGGGCAGGTGGTTTGCTAAAAGGCTGGAAGATTGGTAACATTAAACTAGTAAATTAATGTACTGAGCAAGTAAATAATATACTGAGGATAGTGGAAGCCAGGTTTCTGTCTGAAGGGGGATTTGCAAACATCGAAAGGGGGAAGGCTTTCAAATATCTTCTTCCACTAAAAGGAATTAGATTAACTAAAGAAATGGCTGGTACAAGCTAAGCCTAAAATATCTGGTTATGCCAGAAAGTAAGGAAGTGCTTAAAGAATGAAAAAAACAAACAAGAAGAACTAGATGGTGCCCGGCTACCACTATCAAACCACTAGGTCACAAGAGATGGATCCTGATAGAAAGGGAGAAAAATGTGGAAAAGAACTTCAAATTCTTAAAAATCCATACTTTCTGGGCATATTGAGGCTGAAGGAGTCCCTGAGACTACTGTCCTGAGTTGCTCTTCTTTGAATCAAAACTATCCCCTGAAGTCACCTTCAAACTAAGTAACAGTGTAGCTCAAAAAGTAAAGACTGTCACCCTTGAGTATTGCATTCTTTTAGAAAATCATCTACATAAGACCAAATGGACAACAGCTATTTTAAAACATAGACAAGAAGGTGGGGAGCAGGGAGTATAAGAGTGAAACAACCAGAAGAGAAATAAGAATGCTGACACAATATGAAGAATCAAATCAATGTCACTGATCATTTTGTCTAGAAACGGTTGAATGGGAGTGGGTTTTGCTGTGTATATTTTCACCAAAAATAAAATATTAACCAAAAAAAAAGAAGAAGAAGAATAGATACATGCCGAAAGGACACAGCTTAAAGGTACTCTCACTGGCCAAGTTTAAGATGGTTTGAGCCTCATAATAAATTATGAAAATACTGGATTACATCCCATTTGCTGTGGCTTGAATTGTGTACCCAAAAACATATGTTCAAGTCCTCAGCCAGGTAACTGTGAACATGACCTTATTTGGAAACAGGGTCTCTGTAGCTGTAATAAAGTTAAGATGAGGGCATACTGGATTAGGGTAGCCCCTAAATCCAATGACTGGTGTCTTATAGGAGATAGATATTTGGGGACAGACACACACAGAAGGAAGACAGCCATGTAAAGACGGAGGCAGAACTTGGGAGTGATGCAGTTGCAAGCCAAAGTACGCCAAGGATTGCCGGCAACCATCAGAAGCTAGGAAGAAGAGAGGGATTCTTCCCTAGAGCCTTCAGAGAAAGCACAGCTCTGCTGACTCCTTGATTTCAGACTTCTGGCCTCCAGAACTGTGAGAGAATAAATTTCTGGTGTTTCAAGCCACCCAGGTTATGGTACTTTGTTACAGCCACCACAGGAAACCAATGCACCATTGAATAAAAGACGAATCCATGTATCCACACTGACATAAATAGATAATAAATTTAAAAAAAAAATCTCTTCCTTACAGTACCATGCCAACTAGTAAATATAGAAAGAATGATGGGAGCAATTTATCACCATTTGGTATCCAAAGGTCCCTGGGTGGCGCAAATGGTTTGCTCTCGGCTACTAACTAAAAGGTTGGCATTTGAATCTACCCAGTAGAACCACAAAAGAAAGGACTGGCAATCTGCTTCCTAAAAATCATAGCCAAGAAAACCCTATGCAGCTCAGTTCTATTCTATAACACATGGGGTTGCCATGAGTTGAAGTCAACTCCACAGTAACAGGTTTGATTTTTGTTTTTGTTTTTTTTTTTGGTAACCATCATAATGGTAGTTGATAGAGGCAAGAGTTGTCAGCAGGCACTTGTGCTGCTAGCTGGAGGTTTGATGAGGAACAGGCAGTTAGCATAATACTGGAGAATCTCCAACAAAATTCCAGTCAAATGCAAAGTCATTAGTGCAGTCTGGATTTTAGAAAATGGTCATTTACAAAATGGTGACTTTCCAGTGGAGAAACGTGGCAGAAACCTGCTTGACTAGGTCATCAGGGTTAACATCACAGGAGCAAGTGAGTGGCCACAGTGTGCCTCCTGGTGTGAGACACTGACGAAAGCACAGCGTCCCTTCTAGGATACTCCTGCCAAGATGGCCTGGCCTGGGTCTGGTCACGAGGAAATACTGGATAGACCCACGTGGGGTCAACTTTCAGAATGGATGGCCTGTACTCTTTAACACTGTCAAGGACATGAGAGATGAGGAGAGGCTTGCCCCAGATTGATGAGACCTGACAACTGTTCAGCAACACATATTTCTGAACAGGATTCTGGACAAGAAAGGAGACCTCTTGGAGTAGCAGGAGAAACGTGAATGGGGTCTGTGGATTGGATGGTAGTGTTGTAACGATGTTGATTTCCTGATTAGGGGTATGTGTGCGAAAGAGAGAGAGAGAGAGTGGTTATCTAAGGCAGTGTACTTATTTGGGAGAGATGCTCACTAGAGTAAATAGGGGTTATGAAGGATTACGTCAGGAAAGGATACAAATACACATAAGAGAGAAAGACAGAGACAAGAAAAAATATGATCAACTGGGGAATTTAGGGATGAAAGAGTTCTTTGAACTGTTCGTGCAACTTTTCAGTAGGTTTGAAACTACTTTTAAAATAAAAGGTTTCTAAACATTTTGACAGGCTGTTGTTGTCCAGTGTCCTTGAATTGTTTTCAACTCATAGCGACCCCAAGAGACAGAGCAGAACAGCCCATAGGGCAGTTCTTGGCTGTAACCTTTACAGAAGCATATCACCAGATCTTTCTCCCACAGAACTACTGGGTTCAAACCATCAATCTTTTGGTTAGCGCCAAGCACGTAACCATTTGGGTCACCAGGGCCCCTTAAAAATTTTGACATAGACATCTCTTTTCTAAAAAGTATAAAAACATGTGCATTTTCTTTGGGAAGAAGAAGAAATTCAATGGCACAACCCTTTCTCACACATGCACGGAGGTAAAGAAAACTGAATATAAATCTATGATTGCAACAAACTGACATTCTGCTTCTCATTTACTTTAATGTAGTTTAGTATTAATAATAATTACTACTAAATAATTGCCAGAAAAACAAACAAATCCGTCTTGGAAGAAGTACAGCCAGAATGCTTGTATATATACTTTATATATGTTATCGGGGGGACCAGTCCCTGGAGAAGGGCTTCATGCTTGGTAAAGGAGAGGGTCAGCAAAAAAGAGGAAGACCCTCAACGAGATGGACTGACACAGTGGCTGCAATAACGGGCTGAAACATAGCAACAACTGTGGGGATGACGCAGGACCAGGCAGTGTTTTGTTCTGCCGTACACAGGGTCACTATGAGTTGAAACTGACTTGTCGGCACCTAACAACAACAACAGTAATAATAATAATCCTGAACACTTACTAAACCCTCTCTATAGGGTCGCTGGGTCGGAATCAACTCCACGGCAATCAGTTTTATAAGTCGGAATTTACCCAACAGCACACAACACCGACAACAAAGTTATCCTCGGAAAGGAATGGAACTCACAAAAGAGCTAACGATGGGCTGAGGATCAGGCTGAGCCTCAGGGTTTGTTTTGTTTTTAATGCTTTGCTGTTGCAGGAGCCTCCCTGAGTCACTGGCACATGGATTCCTGCTGGATGGTCCAAGCACAAGTGCCTATAGCTACCAAGGACAGGAAGAATTAAATTGGCTGCACTGTGAGCGCTGAAATGAAATATTGTTTATGGAAAAAATACAAGTTGCTTACAGCTTAGTATATTAGGAAATCAGCAATTACACATCAGTAAGAGACAAAGTTGAACTGGGCAAAGGGGTCCTTGCTGAGCACAAAACTGGGTCCTAAACCCAGACTAAGGAGCCCTGGTGGTACAGTGGTTAAGCACTCAGCTGCTAATCGTAAGGTTACTGGTTCGAACCCACCAGCCACTCTATGGGTGAAAAGACCTGGTGATCTGCTTCCGTAAAGATTACAGCACAGGAAACCCTATGGGGCAGTTCTACTCTGTCACATGGGGTTGCTATGAATTAGAATTGACTGGATGGCACATAACAACAACAAACCCAGACTGGGTGAGGGACTGAGTAGGAGCCTAGGGGAGGGGCTCACCAGAGAAAAGGGGGCCTGTGGTGGGCCCTAGGAGTCTCTGGGTGGTGGTGGTGGTGTTACTGTGTGCTGTCAAGTCGATTCTGACTCACAGGGACCCTATAGGACAGAGCAGACCTGCCTCATAGGGGTTCCTAGACTATAATCTTTATGGGAGCAGATTCCCAGGTCTTCCTCCCGAAGAGCAGCTAGTGGATTCAAATCACTGACCTTTTGGTTAGCAGCTGATGCTTAACCATAGCACCACCAGAGCTCCTTCCCTGGGTGGTACAAACAGTTAACAAGCTCAGCTGCTTACCAAAAGGTCACCTCGGGAGACAGGCCTGGAGATCAACTTCTGAGAAATCAGCCACTGAAAACCGTATGGAGCGCAATTCTACTCTGACACAAGTGGGGTCGCCACGAGTCAGAGTTCACTCAAAGGCAACTGGTTTTTGGTTGGTTGTGGGTCCTGGAGGATGACTGAACGGTGTCAGTCACAGAGGGGGGAATTGCCGAAGGGCCGAAACAGAATGAGTGTTTCAAAGTAAGTAGGGGGAAAACAAAAGGCAGAAGAAGTGGGCAGGAAGGCAGGGACCAAATCATAAAGGTGTGTGAAGTCACATTTTATTCCTGAAGCCAACAGAGAAGCAGGGAGGACTTTTGATGGAAGTGTTCCATGGTCCTTGCTGTGTTAGAAAAAGATTTCTCTGCTAGCAGCAAGTAGGAGATTTAAGGGGGAAAGAGATCTGGGCCAGCGAGATGGGTTAGGAGGACCCTGGGTTAGGAGGACCACAGGTTAGGAGGACCCTGGGTTTGGGAGATACCAGGTTAGGAGGACCCCAAGTTAGGAGGACCCTGGGTTAGGGGACCCCGGGTTAGGAGGACCATGTGTTAGGAGGACTACAAGATAGGAGGACCATGGGTTAGGAGGACCCCGGGTTAGGAGGACCATAGCAACAATCACTTCCTTTGATTATTCACTTAACATGTCCCCTCCA